AGCTGTTGATGAATCAGGGCTGGGACTGTCCTTTTGGCATCTCTCTTGGCTTGCTAACGGACAATCAACTTCGCAAATGCCTAACACTGTTTGGTTCAAATTAAAATGAACGTCGACAGGGTAACAGCATCAATTAAGGGAAGCCTGATCAAAGGTCGTCTACTAATGTTCTAGAATACCGAAGGGTAATCCAGCAAGGCGAAACGTGTCTAAGTCACCAAATCGAGCACAGCCTGAGACTAAGAAGATCAGGTCTCTACGTGGTTTTAACCGTGCAACTCTTGATCACGGTAGCTGCGATGAAAATTTTTAAATGAACACGAACAGATGAAATTTCCACCAGACAAACTAAACGCGACCGAATTAAGTAAACCGCCTCCCCTTCCCCTCCCTTACTCAGCCTCACTCTGCCCAGGTCCCCTCTTCAAAAGTTAAGAATTCTTTTTTTTTTTTTTTTGAAGTCTAGTAAAGCTGGAAAGGCGTGAGCAAAGAGGGAGTTACGCGAACAGAAGTCGTGAGGCTCTAAATTTCTTAGATACCCCGACTCACGAGTTTTTTCATTTGAATGAAAGCAATCGGAAAACGCTGTAGTGATCGCTGAGTGATGCAAGGAGGCGATCAACACCGACTAGTGTATTGATAACTGCTCCCATTCAGTAATAATATTAAATGGACGCGCGTTTTGATGTTCCGTTCGGAGCCCAATGCCGTCAGTTACAACAACTTGCAATAGACAGCGAGATAACGGAGCTGAAAACTGAAGGTAAGCGGTCTATTTCCGTTATTGTGCTTTTTCACGGAAATCATGTTGTTTTCCAATTTTGTGGTCAGCTTGGCTGGACTTTCAGGCTGGAACATAGAAATTGGCCCGTTATTAGTGGTCAAGCCGAATTTCTTATCTGGTTGCTCCGAAGCCTTAATTGTGTCCAGCATTTCCACTCATGTTTGGCAAGAACGTGTAACCCAACGCTGCAAAGATGTCGGGCATAACCGCACGAAAAGTTTACAACACACGCACAGACATGTCTCCTTCTCAGCCGTTCTCAGACTCGTCACGCAACGCTCCTCCTCTCCGTTCGTTGAGGAGGAGCGTTGCGTGACGAGTCTGAGAACGGCTGCGAAGGAGACTAAAGCCTGGGGAGAGAAAGAAATTTTCACCAAGGGTATGAGAGAAATTGATAAAGAAGCATAGGAGAGGGGTGGGATACAATCTCCTTTTTCCTGTCCCTCCCAGCACTTTAAATCAAACATGGCCAGTCAAATATCGCGAGCTTGTAACGTTGACCCGCCCAAATAAGACGCCTACAATTCAGATTAGACATTAGGCTATTTACTGACTTAAAGGTGGGTTGATCTGCCTTCAATTGTTAGAGGGATTCCGTGACATCAATGCAATGTGACTTTATTGATATCAAAATGGTGCAGTGCACATGGTAGTCATCGTGATGGACATGTGTTCTCTACCATTTCATTTAAGTTCGGAAACCTCTCATTTAAAATGAGGATTGCAAGTATTCTACTCCCCAGTTTTCTCACTCAAAGTACTCGGTAAGGGCGAACGAATTGAAACGGATCAATATCTGCGCTTTAATAAGCGAATGCACAAGGTAACAAATCTGCATGTGCGGATCATGCGAAACAAAGGTTGTGATTTCTATGAAGAGCAATTATTAGAAAGTTAAAGTCTTAGTTTTGGATAATGCACGACTCTGCAACAAGGATTGCGGTTTGATGGAGTTTCAAGCTAGTTTAACAACTGCGTTTCCCAATGACACAAATTTCACGGATGGAACTCTTCCTAAGACCTTGTCCGCTGTTACAGCTTCCCTCTCGCTCATGGGATCCTTCACAATCTTTCTCACGTTCTGGATGTCGCCCGACTTGCGAACTACAGCTCGCAAAATGATCGTGTTTATAACAGTCGCCGATTTCCTATTTGCTGGCACAACCATCGTAGATTATTTGGAAGACAGATTAGGATCAACAGGTTATTTCGTTCGAACACTTGAGGTGACAATACCACGAATTATGGCGCTTGTTTCATCGCTCATTTGGACAGTTCATTTGTCCTTCTTTTTTTACTTAACAATTTGTAGAAGAATTTCCATGGAATCAGAAAGATTGTTTTTAATGTTTTTTCACATAACGGCTTGGGGAGTACCTTTTGTGATCACTGTGGTTGCTTATTTCTTCAACGGAGTTCAATTATTGGCAGACCTTGAAACTGGATACAAGTGCTGGATCCGGAATGAAAAAACTTGGAAGGCAATGTGCATCTGGACAACTATTACAGGAGAGGGCTGGGCCATCATGACATACATCACCATGACTGTGTTCTACCTACTGGTCAAGCAGCACATAAGAAGAGAGGTATTCAAAAAAACTTCAATAAGGTCAAAAAAATTTGATTGAAATAGTGCTCAGAGGAATAGGTTAATTTTGCACTTAAGCTGGGTGGCCCATCCAAGTGGAGCCAATCCTGGTTTCTTTTGCACAAAGCCAGAAGGGTGCCAATCCATCTCAGGGTTACCCTAATAAGCTTTTGTCAACCTTTTACAATAGTTTGCCAATAATCATTTCTTTATATCCCCAAGAGGAAAGAAGCATGGGGAGAGTTCAATATGCTTAGTATCCAATTTCTTCTTACATTATAACCCTTATATCAAAATCAAATCAAATTAAAAAAACAAATTCTCTCAGCCATTACCTCAAAAAAAATGTTTAGAGAACAGTATGGAGTATATGCATACTGATGTTAGAGTGTAAAGCAGTAAGATAAGTTTAATGCCAAAATAATATAACATAATAACCCAGTCAGCACTCCAATTGGGACTTCTTTGTCAATTCTTCAGAGCATTACCCAGTAGCTGGGCTAAATTTCATTCCACTGAGGATAGGAATGAGATGAGATTCCTATCACTTTATTGGTATACACTTCAGTCAATGTAGTGGGGATATTTACACCTTTAATCCTTTAACTCTCAAGATCTGATTGTTAATTCTCCCCTCTAGCTGCTACACATTTCCTTGTTAATAAGTTGGGAGAATTTGGTTTTAGATCAAGATAACAACTTCTACCTGATACATTTGAGTATTCACATCACCTGTTTGTTGGATAGTGCATGGATATTGTAGGGAGAAATTACTTGTTAATCACTTCTGGGAGTTAAAGGGTTAACTTAATACTGGTAACTAGTAACTTGGTTCTCTTTCTCAGACTCTGCCTACACTCTTTCACTTAGCACCTGTAGTTCCCTTTTTCTCTTTGCTCACCTCATGATCAGTCTAGCTGGCAGAGCTACATTGTAATGAACAATTTCTTTTCTCTTTTTTTAGCTGAAGTCAAGATTTTCTCCAGGAAGCACATTTTTAACATGGAAATCTGCTCATGTTGCAAGAATGATGGACTGCAAATTAACATTTCTTCCCATGATATTTATCCTGGAGCGTATTTGGGGAACCATACGATTTTTCCTCCTTGTAACACATTTTGACAATCATGGAAAGGAAAATTTTACTTTACAGTGGCTTGAAATTCTTCATGTAAGTAACACTGCCCTATACTATCACTGAAACATTGATTGATGAACCAGTAATATTCTTGTGTTATTCAATGCATCAGTAAGATTTAATCGCTTAATTATAAACATATAGCCTTCTTCATGCTCTGAAGAGTTTGCAGACCCTGATTGTTTGAAGCTTGGATGACACTATCCACTGGGTAAATCTCTGTCTGGTGGACAGTGCAGTGCATTTTGCAATCACTTATCTGCTATGTGAGAAACCTGCTTGTTGATTTAAAAACTCAGTGGTTGTCTATAAAAGCCAATTCCACATATCTCAACTAAGTGCTTTTGTATTTACCCAAATTTATGGTGTGTGGCCACAATAGTTTTTTTTTTTCGGTTCAGTGGGGGAGGGAGAGGGGGGCTGCTTCTTAACCCTTTGTCCCTAATGAGGTACTTACATCTAATTTCTCCTTACAATGTCCCCCCTGAATCACACTTTTAGGACACAAGAATAGTTGGAAATGATCACCAACTAAACAAACTCTTGATTGTTGAAAAAATTCTTCCTGTCAGTACCTCAGGAAATGTATAGAAAATAGTACAGAGAAATATGCACAGTGATGTTAGAGTAGAAAGGGTTAATGTATAAACCAAGTTCTAACTTTTACTTTGTATGCTTTTCTTCCAGGGTATTGGGATTAACAGCCAAGGATTTACAAATTTCATCTTGTTTGTCTGGTGTACCACAAAGATAAGAGAAAAGTTAATAATGGAATGTGTTCATTGCTTGTCACTTTTTTGCAGATATCATAAAAGAGATCAACCAGTAATTAGCAGAGAGAGGTTTTATAAAACATTTAATGATGAATAGATACTGTCAGTGCTCATGCTCTGTAGTTGCCTAAATTACATTATATACTTGTCATTTAGTTATATATCTGAGTTCTTTTCCAAGAACTCACAGTTATGGCAAATGTGTAGTTACTGGAATTTTTTACAGTTGTTTGGTAAGAACTTAAGATTCTTTTTATCTCTTAAGTGGAGTATGAAGTTATTATTTATTCTTGTGTATGTTTTTCCCATATTAAAATAAAAAAAACTTTAATTTATGGCTTTAAAGCATTGCCATACCTCAGGGAACAGTTATACTTATGAATGAGATCAATTAAAGCTGTGAATAAAGTTCAATATCAGTGGGGAAAGTACTGTATGGTTAATGTTTGTTCTTTGGATGAGCTCTGGATGAGCTTACCCTTTTTTCTCTTTTTAACCTTTGGCTCCCAATTGATGTCTGCCATACAGTTTTTACATTTGAGTATTCACATTACCTGTTTGCTGGATAGTGCATGAATATTGTAGGGAGAAGTTACTTATTAATCACTTTAGAGAGTTAGGGGGTTAACCTAATACTGGTAACTAATAACTTGGTTCTCTTTCTCAGACTCTGCCTACACTCTTTCACTTAGCACCTGTAGTTCCCTTTTTCTCTTTGCTCACCTCATGATCAGTCTAGCTGGCAGAGCTACATTGTAATGAACAATTTCTTTTCTCTTTGTTTTAGCTTAAGTCAAGATTTTATCCAGGAAGTGCATTTTTTATGTGGAAATCTGCCCAAGTTCCAAGAATGATATACTGCATATTAACATTTATTCCCATGGTATTTATCCTGGAGTGTATTTGGGGAACCATACAATTTTTCCTCTTTGTAACACATTTTTTATGATCACAGGAAGGAAGATTTCACTTTAGAGTTTAATTCTTCATGTAAGTAACACTGCCCAGTACTATCACTGAAACACTGACTGATGGACCTGTTATATTTTTATGGTATTCAATGCATCAGTAAGATTTAATTGCTAAATTATAAACATATGGTCTTCTTCATGCTCTGAAGAGTTTGCAGGCCCTGATTGTTTAAGGCTTGGATAACGCTATCCACTGGATAAATCTCTGTCTGTTGGATAGCTCAGTACATTTTGCAATCACTTATCTGCTATGTGAGAAATCCGCTTGCTAATTTTTAAAATCCAGTGGTTGTCTATAAAAGCGAATTCAACGTATCTCAAATTTATGGCTTGCTTTGGTGGGGGAGGGAGAGGGGGGCTGCATAAACTTCACTCTTAATTTGTGTCCTCAATGAGGTACTTGCATCTAATTTCTCCTAACAATATTCCCACTGAATTACACATTTAGGACACAAGAATAGAGGAAATGATCACCAACTAATCAAACTCTTGATTGTAGAACAAATTCTCCTTGTCAGTACATCAGGATATTTATAGAAAACAGTACAGAGAATATGTACAGTAAAAATCTAAGTTCTTCGTTTGTCTCACGATGTAGTTACGTGTGATGTAGATCGCGACGTTCCGACTGCATACTGCTAGTCTTCTTCAGGCGATAGGTCGACTGATCATGCGTGATCTTATAAAGCATGGTGCTCTGCTGTGATTAGTTGTTTTTCAACAGCTCTGATTAGTGCATTTCGATCCTTGCTGTTCACTCAGTGATTTGCTCCCTTGGCGGTCCGCTGTCGCACGGCTCTCCTGTTGTTGTCTTTCTTGATCGTGGGCATCCATGCGTCTGGAATTTCTATTCCACTCTCCCTGTTGATGTTGTTAGAGTGAAGTCTTATATGAATAGCCTCTTTGACCCTGCGCGTGTAGGGCCAATTGTACTATGTCCGACCTTTTCCGAGACTTCTTTCTAGCTTTTATTTCGTAAATTGAGAGTAAAATTTCGGAACAAGCAAGCCGGCAAGTAGCAACAGAAGAACCAAGCAAAGGTTTTTAAAAAGGCCAGGAGTCGTAATTTAAGTTATTCTAACGTGGGAAGAGACGAAAATCCTCAAGGAGTAAACGAAATGGACAGTCCGAGTTTTAGAGGTTTTCACGCTTAGTTAGATGACAAGCTTATGTACGGTAACGAAAATCAAACACAGCTAACACTCGTATAGTAAGTAAAGTTTCGCGATCAAAAACAAAACAGAACAAAACAGGAATGATGAAAAATATAACCAAACTGGCATAACTGTTAAAATTCATACTAATCATGCCGGTGTCAGGGCGACTGCGATCACGCTGAAGTCCATCGCGGCTAGCTCATCATGGCGATCTTCGGTCATCGCAGTGAAACAAGCCTCAGGAACTACATCGGCCGCCCTTCGAGTGAAAAAATAAGAGCTTGCTCTGATATCCTTTCCGATGCGTTCAGTGGAAGGCCACATCAGTCACTGCAGCCGAGTGTCACGGCCTTGTCATCCCGAGCGATCTTTATGTTCCGGTAAATTCGACTGTCGTTCACTCATAAAACACTCGCCTTGAACTGTTTATTTCTACTTGTCATGTGAAAAACTTGCGTGTTTTTATGAGCCACAATTCTGCTGAGTTTCACTGAACATTTCACTTTTAGATTCTGTATTAGAGACTAAAAAACTTCAGGCACAAGTGTTAAATTCGGCCTGCCGAAATATTCAAGTTTTCAACCTCTTGCAGAATGTGAACTTTGATGGCTTTTGAACTTTGACGGTTTGACATTTTTGACAGCTTTAGTCTTGTACAGATTGATCAGATTATTTGAGCCATTCTAACAGGGATTCTGATTGGCTTATTGTAGCGTACTTTTATGGGAGTTTACATAATAAGCTCAGTTGTGCACGCATTCTAATTGGTTCTCACTTATGATCTATTGGAGGACAGACGTATAGATGACGTCATCATTAAAACTTTTTTCCCGTACATTTTAATTCTATATTACATAAAACAAATAGATTCCAAGTTGCCGTGCGTCTGTTCAGTGCCACTTTTTTGTTCTTACCACAATTTGACGTCATCTGTGATCTTTTGTGACGATAAGTTTTCGCGCCTTTAAACTGGACTTCGCGGGAACGTACAAAACGGGGGAAATTAACTCAGTTAAATTAAGTTAGGAAGCGGCTAAAGCACTCAAGAAGTAGAGAGAAACACTCGAATACGTCTCTTGTTTCTCCCTACACTTCTTTCGTGCTCTAGCCGCTTCCTGAGTGCTTTACATCAGAACAGAGCATAGTTAAGGCTTCTCTATTTGTTAATTAAAGCTGTGAATAAAAGTTCAATACCAGTAGGGAAAATATTTTAGGATCAATGTCTGTTCTCTGGATGTGCTCTGGGTTAGCTTACTATTTTTTTTCTCCTTTGAGCCTTCGGCTCCCAATTACAGTCTGCCGTACAATTTTTATGATAGTAAAATATGTTTTTCGTCTTGTCGCGAGCGTGGGACTAAGAAGACATTGTTTTTTCACGAGGACTCAGGATTTTTTTCTCTGTCCCATTCTCAAGACAAGATAAAAAAGTATTTTGCTTTTCTTTTACCGACCTCAAAAATTACATTAATTACATTGTTTCCTTGATATTGTAAGGAGAAATTTTGTCTTGGTTATTCATATAAGTTAAAGGGTGATAAGCCACTGTAGGTAGCCTAAAATCATACGTTTGTCACACTTGTCATTGATAAGCATTAACAGCACGCCATTTTTATTTCTGAAAAATTTTAAAGCGGCTTGTCTGGTGACGTTTCAATTCACCTAGGCTTTAGATTTGACATCACTTTACGCACGAGGTATTAGTTTGGATTATTCCATGCTAGAACGCTTCCTGCTACATTGTTCGCATCTACTCAAGTGATAGCGAAATATCAAAACGCTTGATAAGTAATCAAACATACGATACAACAAAGAAGTCAATTTTGAGCATAGAAACACTTCACGACAGTGGAAATTATGTACAACAAAATGGTGAAGCTGAAGTTCGTACCCAGGTAGTTGGTGGTTGACTTTATGGCCGTACTTTTGCGGTTCTAACTGTCGTATTTGATCTAGGTGATACCTGCCTCCAATGCAAACTGTCTATAAAAATAGTAAATATTTTCAAGATAATTTTGAGTAATCGTGAGCTACAGCCTCCTCGTCTTGGCCGTTTTATTGAGTACCCCACGAAGGCAGCCAATTAAACTGTGAGAGTTCTTTGCATCTATACAATTCTATGACAATTAAAGAGGAGTCTCGCTGAAAAGAAAAAAATGTTATTAAAAGTTAATGTAAAAAGCAACAACTTCAACAACAACAGAACAACGAGTACAAAACATGAACAAAAACAGAAACAATAAAAACAAGGTTAACCCTCATTCTCTTTTTCAAGGGTGAATGCGATCAGACAAAGTTTGAGCCAACAATAGGGCTGAAATTTTAAACAGCTTGCCTCTTTCTTTGACCCAGCTCATTAAATTACATGACGAAGAGTCAGTCTACCTTCACAGATTTCTTTCTACTCAGATGGGTTGGCGTCCCTTCTGACCAGGGACACATAGTGCAACTCGGGGACGTGTCCCAACACGAGAGGATTCCTGTCATCAGTACAGTAGTTCGACGTAATGAAGACGTCATCGTGATGTGACAGACTGCTTACCACCCGAATACAAGTTTTGAACAGGTTTGCTGTAGCAAGCAAAGTTAAGTGATCACCCCAAGAACCGTCTCGTTTCATGTGCTGCAGATAATCATCCCAAGATTTCCATCCTTCTACGAAGTTGGACCTGCATGTTCCATCCGGCTGCAAGGCAAAAAATAAAGAGTTTATTAACAACCTCAGATGATATAGCCAACAGCACAGGAAGGACATGAAATGGATGCAAACTTATGGTTCATGTGTCAATTCGACTCTGAAAGGAGTATCAAATTTCAAATTTCTATTTTCAAAACAATGGTAATTAAAGAATAATGAAAAAAGTAGATTATGTTGGTCATTTTCAAAGCAGGTGGGTTAACTAGAAGTAGCTCTTAACGTAAGCGCCACATTCAACGGCGCCTCATGGGCCACTTTAATGTTCTCACCACACATTTCGACACCACACATTACGGTATAGACGCACGGCAACGTAGAATATATTTGTTAAATACACACACATATATATTCATTAATAGAGATAATCGATCTCTTCAACCACACGGTAAAATAAGGGTCCGTCACGAAATTAAACTAATGGCGAACAATTAGCAGCCTTGGTTTCAAAACACTCCACTAGTATACCTGTCTTGGGTTCTTCCTGAGGTACTGGACAATGGCTTGTCTTAATTCGTAACTTGACATTGTGATTCGTTTTATACGAGACAGTTGTTCAGACAATGCATGAAACATGCAATTTCCGGAACCCTCATTATCGGAAATTTCATAGCCTCTGCTTCTTGCAATCTTTTGCAGAAGTAGCATTTGGGAGTCAAGCTCGTTTTCAATGGTTTTGCCTGCATCATCTTTCAAAGTGTTGCTGACTGGATCTAAAACAAGAAAATAAAGTAAATTAGACTTTTTGCTCGTTTGCCTTTCACTTTGGTTGTTTGATTCACTTAAAGTTTGGGAGTCAAGCTCGTTTTCGATGGTCTCGCCTGTATCATCTTTCAAAGTGTTGCTGACTGGATCTGAAACAAGCAAATAAAGTAAGACTTTTCGCCCGTTTGCTTTTAACTCAGTGTTTTATTCACTTAAAGAAAACTCGTGATTCAGCGGACCAAAATTGATCGGTTAACTAATTATTCTTGGTCAGGATGAAGACCAGCCACAGGCATGATAGTCGTTAGAGAACTATCTCCACTTGACGAGTTGCCCAATCAAATTCTGAAAGTGGTTATTTCATTGACTCCGCTTGGAAGTAATTTAAGTCGAAACAGGTGTTCATTGTTACGAATGCCCTTGATAACTGAATATGTAATTACAAAAACTACGAGACTTTTTGCGACTGACAAATGATGTTTGACAATTGAAGACATTACCCTCTACAAAACAGAATCTCTTTGCTTGCTTGTTTGTTTAAACGTTTTGCTTTTAGTTGTTTGGTTATTCGTAATTTGACATTGTGATTCGTTTTACACGAGACAGTTGTTCAGACAATGCATGAAACATGATTTCCCGAACCTTCGTTACCGGAAATTTCATAGCCTTTGCTTCCTGCAATCGTTTGCAGCAGTAGCATTTGGGAGTCAAGCTCGTTTTCGATGGTCTCGCCTGTATCATCTTTCAAAGTGTTGCTGACTGGATCTGAAACAAGCAAATAAAGTAAGACTTTTCGCCCGTTTGCTTTTAACTTGTTTTATTCGACTCGTAATTCAGCGGACCAAAATTGATAACTAATTATTCTTGGTCTGAAGACCAGCCACAGGCATGATAGCCGCAACTTTCGTTAGAGAACTATTTCATTGACGAGTTGCCCAATCAAATTCTGGAAAGTGGTTAATTTAAGTCGAAACAGGTGTTCATTGTTACGAATGCCCTTGATAACTGAATATGTAATTACAAAAACTACGAGACTTTTTGCGACAAACAAACAATGTTTGACAATTGAAGACATTACCCTCTATCAGATCATTACAGTAGGAGTAAAAGGCGAAATATAAAATGTGGTTAAGTGACCACCCTTCTCACTGCCATGATACTCGACCTTCTTAGATTACTTCTTGAGGTTGCTATTAGTCATTTGGATTTTACAAAAAACTGGTCGCCCGATGGTAGTGTGCTTAATACC